AATATTAAAAAAAAAATTATTGCAGCCTTTTGGTTGAGAAAAAGTTGTAAATAATTATTTTAGCCGTTAATAACTCCAATTCAAGACCACCTCACTATTGCCCTCTAGAAGAATTATAGCCGATTATGGTATAATGGCATTAATAGGAAGTGGTCATGCTCTCCACATCACTGTGCCATAGTCCACTTTACAGTTCCTGTCGGGTGGCTGTGATCTTTAAACACTTTATTTACCTGTTTGTTTTCCTCCTGCAAAAGTTTCTTTTAGCTGTTGGTGAAAACGTGTTGTTTTTCCCGCAATTCAACCCGACAAACTCAAATGTTATGAATGGAGACATTATTAACTTCCTGTTTTTGACACTCATCTAAAACCAGAAATCGTGCCCCGAGGGAAAGTTTCCTCTGATCACGTCCTCCCACATGCAGGAACACGAAGCGGCTCGTCCTCGCTGCGCTGACTCACCCGCTGCTCGTGCGCTGAGCCTCAGCTAAACATTTCTCAACAGAGGATTGGTTGTCTTTCATTAGAATTGCATTGCCTCAAGCAATATGGATCGCAGTGCGGGTTTCCCACAGTTGAACAGCGGCATCAGTGGTCACTCATCACTGTTTTTGATGTAACCCTTCAAAGAGAGATCCCTCTAATCACATAAACCCCGACTTCTTTCACTGAAACAAATTGCTTCTTCTAATACTTATCCGTTAATCATTTTGTCATCTTTTACTTCAATAAAAAAGAAATTGAACAATAGAACTTTTTAAAGGATAAGAATAAGATAAACACCAGAAGAGATAGGGAGTTTTTCTTCGGAAGATAAATGGAAGGAGGAAAGAAGTCAAGAGGATCCCCGGGGCAGATTTTGTCACATGCAGGTGTCGACGCTGGTTGTGGTCAAACGTGGGGTCTCTCAGGTGCAGCTATTTTCATGTAGAGCCAAAGAAAGATCAAACCTTCATTTGTTCCCTGGTTCCACTTCAAACACAGTCCCTGTTTAAACTGTGATTGTGCACACCTGCCTTCAGAGAGTTATCAAAGGTGAGCTACGATAACTCCGCTTGTGATCCTCTGGGAGCCGCTTGTTCTCACTACAAAGGGAATCAGAGAACCTGCCCTCGTGAACTCTGCTTGACTTTTGTTTACCGACGCAGCACAAAAGGACTGAGTTTGACTGGGGTTTTTTGTCCGTCACATAAATCACATGGAACCAGAATGCAAGAATTGTCTTTTTTTTTCATTGCATGTTAAAAGTAAAGGGAACTGTAATCACGTGTTTGCCTGGTTGAATCTAAGTTGTGTTGGGCCCAAGACACTAACAGAAATAAAACATTTACGATATTTTTATTTTCCAATTTTATATTTCATTTTCTGACAAATGAAAAACAAACTTTTAATAAATTTCACTGAATTTTACAATTTCTAATATCTTACATAGAATAGTTATGTTTTATTTTTGTTTGTTTCTTTGCAGGATTATGCAAAAATTATTTTACCGATTTCCATGAAATTTTGTGGAGTGATGGAGCATGACGCAAGATAGAACCCATAAAACTTTGGGATGGATCTACATCAGGGCGGCCCCCTTGTTTGGTTCATTTGTTTGTCATCAAGATTGCTTTAAAAACTACTGGGTGACATGGGGGTTAGGGAGGATCTCATTAAATTTACAGATCAGGGTTTTATTTCACGTCTTTAAAGTTTTTAAGAAAGTAGATTTCTTAGAGAATCATTCATGGATCTTGCTGAAACAAAATCAGACATGTCTAGGGGACTGAGCTTGTGCAAGTTGGTGCAGATCAGGTTCTAGTAAATTTAAATGTGGTTCCATCACTGGGCCTTGGCAGAGGTGTGGGCTCTTTGAGTCTGTGAATGAGTGTTTTTGTTCTTGAGAATTGTATTGCCTCAATTTTCCTCCTGAAGGAGTTACTAAGAATTGAGTAAAGGTTGAATCAAACATTGACTTTAAAAGACGTGGTCTCAAATCGAAAGAAGAAAACACAAACAGCTGGAAGACGACTGCGTGTCTAATGGTACAGCAGCAGCAGCACCTTGAGTCATCACACAGCCGGTTGGCTCCAGTTTAATGTCGTCGCGGTGACAGAGATGTTTGCCAGATGAAGGGGCTTTGCCGATGATTCACCTGAGTGAGGACCATCTGCCTGAGGGGGGGGCAGACCGAAAAAAAAAAAGGAAAAACAGAGTGAGAGAAAGACCACAGCACCCGCACATGAATGGTTTCAAGGGGGAGACGTCTCACATTTCAGATTCAGTTACTGCAAAGGCAAGAAATGAACACAATGGGCTCAATGTACATGAGATCAAACTCTGGATAATAGGTCCAAAATGCTGCAGGTTCACACAGAACCTCGGGCTGAGTCTGTGGGCGAGCACAATGCCTGTGTGAATCCATCTTGGATGCAGCGGCGTCTCATGTTGTCCCTGAAAATCCCCCATTTGAGACAGAAATCAATTGTTGAGGCCCCTCGTGAGTTAAAAAGGGGGATTCACGTTCCCTTTGAAGGTTACACCTCATCTTCCCAAAGCAGAGATTGACAGTTCAAAAGCATTGTGGTGAAACTTTGCATGGTGACACACACACAGAGACAATAACAGCAGTGGTGAGTCAAGAGTTAAATAACAGAATGATGTCTCTAAGGGCAGGCAAAGGTCAGAAACTGTCATCTTAACGTCTAACACACTCACCTGTCTGTTATTTTGTTTTGTAGATTCCTGAACATGGACGTTATTGTTGGAAAAGAAGAAAATCCGGCAGCTCTTAAAGGAAAGCTACAGGCATGTGGGAAAAATGGAAGAAGGAATCCACCTACTGGCCGTCCCCGGGAATCACCGCTTGGAGCAAAGTAAGTAATTTTCCAGCTGAGATAATATTTCAAAGCAAGGAGACGTTTGAGATGACATTTTAATCTGTCTGCCGCCCTATTCAGCAGCCACACTTAATTATGTTTCTGCCCTAAATCCTGCTTGACCTTTATTTTAGCATTCAGCCACTGGTTCATTAAATCTACACGAGCGAGGCTGCATTTGATATGTTAATATCGTGTTTGTTTTCCATGTGGTGGAGAAAAAAAAACCCTCCTCCTTTAATAAACAAAGTTGGATTCTCTCTGGGATAAAGGGAGAAGCAGATGAATCGTTCACAGCTTCTGTGGTTATTAAGGGGGAGTTGTGGAGTAAATACATCTTTTGTTCTCTGATCCGTGCGTGGAGACGGTTCAGATCAATTCAAAGATGCAGCAAACTGTGGGAGAGTCAAAGGACTCTTTCATCCCAATGCTCCGACTATTGATGTGTCGGCTTCTTCATCTCCTCCGCCCACGCAGCTCAACCTCTCTCACTTCACCCGGCTGACCAACCCCACAGCCAAACAACTGACTCCCCAGTCAATTACAATGAAAACAATCATTTCCCCCCTTTGGTATAAATGCAACAATAACACATCAAACATAGAGTCAGTGTCAAATATTAATAAGTGTTCCAACAGTTTCAGCTGATGTCCTCAGGGACCTCACTGGGGATGTGTCTCAGTGCATTGTAGCATTTAACCGTATTTTTGAATTGATATTAATGTATTTTCAGATTTCGTAATAAAAAAATTAAGTGCAACAGTGAGAATCTGTGCTAACCGTGCAAAGATAATGCAACACCACCTAGATGAAGACAAATGATATATACATAATAATTCAAATGGAAGATAATGGCTCTCTGGCATGTAGTTGAAATAGCAGTCGGCGTAACTGTGAAGCATATATAATCTGAAATTAAGACACATTGATATAAAATACTTATTTCCTCACTATTCAGCAGCTTCTTAAATCCCACCCTGTTACCCTGAGAGAAAAGTCTTGAGACTCAAAAGATGTCAAATGTCAGACGCTCTCTCACCCTCATACGTCTGAACTGGGACACTTCTTAAAATATACTGCACTCCTCCGAGAAATGTTCCAGAACATTTACACTCAGGCTCCTCCTGGCCGCCACGCATATAACTAAATTACTTTTTTTTTTTCTTTCTTTCTGACGCTGAACTGTGTGAGGATAGAAAAGATTTCACACTATTCGGTTGATGCTCAGTGAAAAGTCTGCTGCGTTTTAATCCAGCTCCATTTTCAACATTTAGGGTGTTAGTTTACATATTTTCACATTTTCTATTTATTCTCTCCACACAGAATCGGCCTCTAAATCCTTCTGTTCCTTTGTGTTTTTCTCAAATCCATCCCATCATATTAGTCATTAGTACAGCAGGTGTTTTTCATGGTGACGTGGCACGAGCCAATCAGCTCCATTTCGAGTTCCTACATCCATCTGTCGTCACATGTAGCTTATATATATATATAAATAAAACAATAAACATAAACATCACAACACAAACCACAACATTTTGATGTGTATTAACATTATGTTTTGGTTGTTATGTGAATTCCTCTCTTCTGATTGGCTGAGAAACATTCGATGCCCGTTGGAAGAGCTCATGACACCTGTGCTAGTGGTGGCTAATGGCCAAAATTGCTATTGTCCGTTGCCTAGCAACCGCAGTGTGTGAATTTCATATTTCAAATTGTAGCTAGCTAAACTGTATTTGTGTGTTGATAAAGATAATACGATAGTTATCGTATTTGTACAACAATTTTTCCCTCTGCACGATCAATAACGCGTGATGTCATTTAGCGTTATGAGTTGTAATCTAAATAGTGAAATTATGAATCCCGCACGTGTTCACGCATTTCTTCTCATGTGACGTCTTTTCCGCCAACCATGCCTGTGATGGTGAATGTGACCTTGTGTCTTGAAAAACATCGTCTCTGCACTAAATCACTTCTCCTCTCTGCTCTGGTCCATGATTTATTTTTTAATCTCAAATGATGATAATTTTCAGGTCCTGGTAGAAAACTTGAAGGTTTCCCTTCTGGAACAGCTGACCGGTGCACGTATGATCTACAGCCAATCATGCTTTGTGACGTGATTACGCGGTACCCAGAGATTACGCACATTTCCTGCGTAAACGCCACCGCCCTCTTTTCTCTTCCCCATTCATGAAGCGGACGTAAAGCGTGAGCCCCTCCTTCGGTGGAACAGGCTCTGGCCCTTTAACGCAGCTGATGTAGGACTTCATCTCCACATCATGGCCTCCACGCAGCCGACACCGCCGAGGATGAAGCGACCCGCCGGCGGCCCTTCCCTTCCCGCAGCGGAGACGGACGTCAAGCCGAAGCAGAGGCACCGGTAGAGGCGAGCCGCGCCGGGGGAGAGCCGCCTCACCCAACCCCCCACCACCCCCGATGCCACCCCGGTCTCCTCCATGCCTTCGTCTAAAGCCCGGTACAGCTACTCGATAGAGAGGGGAGCGAGCCCGGGCGGCGGCGGCAGAAACATGAGCACGAACCGGGATTATTCTGTTAATCTGTCGGTGCAGCAAGTGCTGAGCCTCTGGGTGCAAGGCGCGACTCTGCAGCACTTCGCAGGTATGCGTAATGAAAGGTGGTGTCATCTTCACCACCACCACCATCATCTTCATCATCATTATCATCATCTTCAGCTGCACATTCCTACTACATGTGCGTTTAATGTGCGTAAATCTAATCCAACACATGATCTTTTCCCCCTCACATGCTCAGTGCGCAAACGGCAGAGGTGTTCCTAATAAAAGGAGCATCTGTACCACAGCCTCCTATAGAGAATAAGAAACCAAAATGTCTCTCCACTGTCCACACGCGTGCAGAGTCAGTGTATGACATGGGACAATAATCCCACCGTGCTCTCAATGGATCGTCGTGGTTAGTAAATGAAGTGTTGTGTCCCTCCTCCTCCCTTTGTCTTACAGTCCAGGAATCAAGGGGCAATTAGAGGCAGCATCCTCAGCTCAGGGCAGCAGCTCTGTGTGGAGTTCAAATCCACCAATGGCATCTTTACTGTGGGTATTTCTAAAAGGACACTGGGTTATCATGTTTGGAGTGATGGCTGAAGTCTTAAATGTGAGTGCCTCCTCCAGATGTTGCTGTCAACAATCCCAAACAAAGAATATGTCAGAGTGCAAGTGTTCGTTGGGCGGTTTGTTTGTTTGATTGCGAACAAGATTACGCAAACACTACCGGAGGGTTTTCTACGAAACCTGGTGGAAGGATGTGGTGTGTGTCAGGAACAGAACCCTTTAAATTGCGGTGCAAATCGATAAACATTTTTTTTTTATATCACTTTCTTTAAATCTGAAAAATATTATCACGACAGACTTGCAGGTTTTGTCCGTGGCTGGTTAGGTCTCTGTTTTATGTTGCCCCTTATTTTTATGACTCCGTCTGTCTACCATTGAAAATTATTTTCTTTTTAAAACTATTTAGAGACAAAAAGAAGGAATTCTTTTTTTGTTTTATCTCGTCTGCACACAGGCCAAACTTCCTCAGAAAGAAATTGACACAAGAAAACTGCTGCTCAACATTTGGGAAAGTAGAAGTATCTATAGAAAACAACAGGGTTGGTCTGCCTGTTGTATAAAAACAAGATTACACAAATTCTTGAGTTCCTTCCTGCAGTGCGAGAGTGAGGCAGAGGCGGACATGTTGTCATGTACGACTTGGCACAGACCCGTGGTATGAAGTGCAGCTGTTTTTCCTGTGTGGAGAAACGCACATGAAGCAAAAGAACATTAAAAAAAGAGGTAGTGAGTGATGCTGACTCAGCAGGAAGCTGCAGCACATGTAGACTTTTACAGAAGCATATCTGCAGCAGCGGCGAGTGAAAGCCTGCGAGGAGCTGACACCCATGAGGCTTTTGGTGAGCAGGGTTCACGAAGCTGCCACCCGATCCCCCGCGACCCTACAGTTCACCAGCCCGGTGAAAAACGACCTCCTGGGACATAAGATACAGTCAGAGGCAGAGAGAGTGAGTCCCAAACAAGAGGCACAGGCTCCATAAGCAGATGTAATGTTTTAAGATGCATAAAGACCTTTAACCTTTTTTTGCCGCTCTGAGGAGTTCCCCGAACTGCTGAACTTCCTATTTATGATTTGCGTGCACGCAGCAGTTTCAGGTTAGCAGAACACTGTGGTAAAAAGGCTTTTACTCTATGTTCAGACTGTTGTGTCAACTTTTCATGGTTATATAACCTGCAGAAATGTGTTTGGTTTTATGTTCCTGGTAACCATGTTTACATTTGTAGCTCCGCCCATACACATTTTAGGTGAAGGGAACTAGGTTTGTGCTTAAACCATTGACCCACACTCTGCCAAGGCCCAACAGTCCAACTTTAAATTCGCTAGATCTGGATTTTTATTCGGATCTGGAGAAAATGGTGAAAATGTTTAACAAACTACATTAAATTCTGGATCCAGCCCTGATGTGGATCTAATTTGATTCGTCCCTTCATTCATATATTCACAGTCCCCTAAACATGCCTGATGCACACATTTGTTAATCTGTTAAATTCAGTTAATTGGTAAAAATTAAAACCAACCGGCCATATCCCTGCCCTCCCTCTCTCTCCATGTCGGGTCAGATCCCTCGTTCTCGCTCCTGATGGCCGAGCTCCGATCCCCTGCAGGGCTCCCACTTTCTGAATCTGCAGCTTTTCCCCACTCTCGGCTTGTGTGTGTTCTTCGTGGGCCTGCACGCGTGCTCATGCAAAATCTCTCACCTGACCTCTTATGGAGCGACCTGCTTTTTAAATGTTTCACTGTTGACAGGCGAGCTCTAAAGCTGCCGTGCGGACAAAGAACTCGGCCTCTCGTTGCGGATTAGCAGAAGTTAATGCCGTGCTCGGACTGCGTTCGCTCGCGTCTCTGAACATGACACAGCACATCTCTCAGCCCATAGGTGCTCTCTCTCTGAGCTGAGGCCACCTGCACTGACTCTGCCCTGTGATTAAATGTGCAGCTCACCTTCTGCCGTCTGCTAAACCGAAAAGAATTACCTGCCGAGACTCATTTCTGTCAGGCAGGGTGAATAACCAGTCGTGTATTTCCACTCGGAGCATTTCGCCCCACCAATCCTCCCCCTGTAGTTGTTCATTTAAAACTTGACCACGTTAAATCAAGTGTAACAGAGATTCCTGCAAATTTAAATGTTGGTCTGAATGTTCCTCGACACGAAGCTCGGCAGGTGACCGTTCCCCATTTAGCCCCCAAGGACAGATTTTACTGACGTTAAGTTCTCTGCAGCTGCTCGTGTCAGATCATGATCAGGATGATGCACTAATTGTGCATAGAAATGATCTGATCACAGATGCATCAGTTTAATTACTTTTTCTTTGGTCTCTAATTAACAATGATTTGAATAATTGATTCCTCATCAGTTATTTTTTCGATTCACATTTAAATCTATAAAATGTCTGAATATAATGAAACGAAGCTGCAGTTTCTACGTTTTCAGTTAGTTTTGTCAAATCTAGGAAAGAAAAAGCATCTAATCCTGACACGTGAGGTTGAACCCTAAAAACATTTTTCATTTAAAAAAGAATTGTGAATCCGATGGAGAGATGAGGCATTAGCCCTGGTGGAGGTTTGCCCTCTCCTTGAGCTTCCTTGATTTACTGACTCTCCTCTCGTCTGCTCCAAGATGCATTAAAGGATCTGAACATCCTCTGTGAAGGTGGATCTCAATCAGTGTTGGTGTCAGGGGGTCCGACGACAGGAGGAAGCATAATTAACAGAACTGAGAGCACCACTGTCCTCCACCGCTCTCTCGTCCCATCGCGGACGTCTCCCTCCTCTTGCTCGGTGGACGGTCGGGGATGGTTGTGGAGAGACGGCAGTGGACGGCCTGTGATGCGTGACCTAATTGTGCCCAGTCGTGCAGAACAAAAAGCCATTGTGTCACCGCGCTGTCACATCTAACCCGGCTCGACTGCCAGATCAATAAGTGGATGTAGGCGCTCAGTGGACTGTGGGACAACCAGGTTAAATGGATATGCTAAAGAGCTCCCGGTGGAGTCCATGAGAAATACTTAGAATTTAGTCTTTTGGATGTTTACACCACACAACAACGTCGTGTTTCCTGTTTATGTCGCTTTGTCCAAACCAAACAGGCCTTCACACAACCTTCCCGTGCTTTGGGATTGGTCGTCCTCATCCTCGGCAGATCTCTTTTCTCCTTGAATAATCTCATGGCCAGCTGGCTGCTCCTCGCTCATGTGGTGCCAGTGGTTCAAAGCGAGGCCCCTCGCTGGCGAAGTGCGGTGACGCCAGAGCTCTTTATGCCAAAGCTACCCATGAGACAGGAGGGTGAGGAGGGTGAGGAGGGAGAGGATGGGAGAAATATTGAATGGGTTCGACCTCAGAGCTTCTGTAAAGCTTTTTACTTTAATTACTTTCTAATGGCATCATTTATTAAATCGGCTCAATCTCGACCCTGTAGCTCGTCGGAAATCTCACTTGGAACCACTTTATATGTGTCTCACCTCGGATCCATTAATGTGGTCGGCTGCCTCCTTGATGAGCCCTGACTTAGATTGTGGCGGCTGCAGATTGAAATCCCTCCTCGGTTCTACAGCGACTCGTGCACAGCTCTAACAGCAGCTCTGAACCACATGTAAATGATGTGTAAAGTGTAAATCTGTCAAATGCATCAGGGAATCTGCCAGCGGGCGACGCTACATGATAATATCCTCTGAGCAATAACATAAAATCTCAGACTCGGCGTCACAGGGACATTTGATCTTTACTTATCCAGGGAGTCGTGTTATCGTCTTCTTCACTTTCTGTCTTCTGAGGCACAGTATTGATTTAGTGTTGTACTGACCCTGGGAGAGTCAAAGGTCTAAATCAGGGGTCAACAAGTAAGTTTGGCTGCAGCTCATCTTTTTCTTAACCAGTAGGTGCTTTGCTCAAACCTAAGTTAAGACTAGCTCAAGAAATAAATAAGATAAAACCTCAAATGTTCCCTCTGTACAGTCAGAAATGTGTGTTTTTCCAGCTGTATTTGTACGTGCACGTTTTCAGGCTGTATCTGATCAAACGTCCTGTGCTTGGTCTCCTCTCCCCGTCAGAGATGTGGTACTGGGTGTTCCTGTGGTGTCTCTTCTCCTCGCTCTTTGTCCACGGGGCGGTGGGGCTGCTCATGTTGGTCATGCTGCAGCGCCACAAGAGGGGCCGCCTCATCACCCTGGTGCTGGTCAGCGTGGGTTTCCTGGCATCCGTCACCGGAGGCGTCATCACCAGTAAGTGCAGTGACACTCCGTTTCTTTTTTAGAAATTTTTTTTTTATTCTATTAATCCCTCTTTTTTAGGCCGACCTCAGCAGCATTCAGCGTCATCCAGAAGGGAGATGACAGCGAGGATGCTGGGAGTTTGTGTGTTAACTCCTGTCAACCAGAGAAAGACACGACCTGACAGACAGACAGAGAGAGAGAGAGAGACAGAGAGAAGGAGGGAGAGAGAGAGAGAGATGTTTTGTTTACGTCGCACAGGAAGCTTCGTCTCCGTCTGACAAAATCAAACACCACAATATTTTGGGCTGAATTCCGTGATGAAGAAAATGGAAACAACATTTCGAACGTGCGGTTGTGCATTCAAGGCACGAACGTGGAGCTGTGAGATGCAAAATGCTTAAGGCGGCTCAATCTTGACCCTGTAGGGTGCATGATGGGAACAGCTGTGTTTGATGGAGCTCGGTTCATAATTAGTTTGGGAACCGAAAGATTTTTGTATTATTGTTTAGACTTGTCGGAGCAGAGTGTAAACAGACCCAAATCTCCTGGAGCAGGAGCTGCATGCTGCACCCCCCCCCCCCCCCCCCCCCCCCTACCCCCACACCCCAAATAGAAAGACACTTTATTATTAATGTGAAACGATCGGGGGGGAGCAGACGATTGACTGTGAGCAAACACTGATGTTTACACAAAAGATAATCTCAGCAGAGCTGGAGCAAAGAAATGATCATGCTGTGAAGAAGAGACATAAAGATTTAAAACTTAAAAAACCCCAGAGTTTTCAAATTTATGTACAAAAAAAAAATATGAATAGTTTTGTTTAAATCCACGTTTAAAATAAAAAAATGAGAGGGAGTGAGATTTACGACACAGTCAAATGCACAGTACATGATCTGTGTGTGATAAGAGGGAGAAGCCATAATAAGTAAAGAACCATCTGGGATCATATTAACGCTGCTGGTGTGTGTTTTTCTCCTTCAGGCGCGGCGGTGGCCGGAGTTTACCGCGTGGCGGGGAAGGACATGGCCCCGCTGGAGGCTCTGGTGCTCGGCGTGGGTCAGACCTCCCTCTCTGTCGTCATATCCTTCTCACGCATCCTGGCCACTCTGTGAAGAAGACCCTCGACAGGTTGAAGCACGGACGCTGACACGAGAGGAGGAGCGCTGATGAATCGAGCCAATCAGAGACTAAGACGCACTCGTCCTGACCGGTGTGCGGAAGCAGCGGAGGCAGAGATGCTCTGGACCTTTAGAGCTAGATGCAGGACAGAGCGCCCCCTGGGTCCCTGCTCTGTTTCTGCCGCAATCCCACAGCGATTCAGAGGGAACTTCATGTAAAAGAGCAGCGGCGGGCGGAGATCAGGTGGAGATGGCGCCCTCCTCAGCCTCTGGACTTGAAAGCCATGTCACGTTCCGGGTGTTTTTCAGAGGTCCACCACTTCTTCGTGCCAACGGCCTCCTCTGGGACGTCCAGATGCCTTCGTGGCCACTGACTCTTGAAGGCTTTCTGATGCTGGGAAGAAAACCTATTTTTTAAAAAGTGAGGACCTGAGATAGACGATCAGTGTGTGAAGAAAATGGAAACAAATGGAGTTTATGGAGCAGCAACCGCCGATAGTCAGCTCGAAGTTTCAGCCTCACCTCCAGGTCGATCGCTCCCTTTCCTGAGACGACTTCAGAGCTGCACCCTCCCACTCACGAGCGGCATGCAGCTTTGAGTTTTGCACTTTGCAAATGTTGGAGACGCTGTTTGCCTAAGACGTGTGAATTCAGAGGAGAAAACCAGCATCAGTGCTACGTTTGCTTTCGTCGTGTTGAAATAGTGATTTGTCATGTGCCAACCACAACTCGGAATGGAGACATTCTGAGGAGATGCAATTCTTCACTTCTCACGCTCGTGTCTGTGCAGTAAATATGAAGTGAGAAGCAGATTTTGGATCTGAAACGACCCTCCCAGTTATCACGGGTCGGTTATTGATCGCGAGGTTTATCAGAGAATCGCAGTTTAAATGAGATGTTTGATTTTTCTCAGTGTTGCAGTATTGAGCAACAGTGGGGCCACAGACACTGGCTTTGTTCAACGATAAACACTTCAGAGACAGCTTTCTGTTTCCTGCTTCATTTCTCCTGCACAGACATGATTTTTTGAATCATTCCTCTCGTCCAACTCCCAACAGGAAAATGAATCCGTGTATTTCCCTGAAATGTTTCTTTAAAGCAAACAGAGAAAAGCCTGGAGGAATCCTCCAGTGGGGTGAAGTTGTTCAGTCTGGTTTGAAAAAGATTCTCTTCATCAGGTTTGAAGGAAGTAGTATTGATATTTGAAATGGTTTGCTTTGCTGCTCTGACATATTTCCCATGAAACGATTCTGTGTCTGTGAGCCAGATCTTTCTGCGATACCGTTGCCCTCCTCGATCCGCCATCGTCTCACTAACAACAGCATGAAACCCCCCCCCCCTCCCCCGTGGAAAGCCATCGCTCCCCAGAAGAAGGTCAGACACACTCTGCTGCTCAGTGGCTTCCTCTTTTCTTTGTTTCGTTGTTTAACCAACGTTCCTTAAGTTTAACTTTGCACATTGCACTGAATTTATCTGCCTTGTTTTTAGCTCACATGTGTGAGATGATACGACTCTGTCGGACCCGGCCCAGTATTCACATTATTGTGCTTGAAACTACTGTCCGCACTCGTTTTAGATCTTCACTGATCTTATTTGAGAATAGAAAGAAACTCAGCCCTGTGAATCCCCCCAATACTCATGAAGAGTCCTTTGTACATAAACCCAGGGTGAGAGGAGTAATGCCAAAGTATCGCTCACATTATATTTATCATCTCTTTTCTTTTTTAATTAACGTCACCAGGTTTAATCGTTCCTTTTCAGTTTTAGAAACATTTGCACATTAGCTTGTTTATCAAAGAGCCTCGAGACCTGTGGTGAAAAGGTATAAAACCCACAGTTGACGTGAATATGGTTGTGTTGTAACCTGCTGCGAGTCACTGAAGGTAAGACGTGTGTTTACATGAGTTATGTAACTGACACAGCTCACCTTCAGTACCCACTTGGCACACAAGAGGACGGTATTGCACAGAAATGAAGTGGCAGCAGGAGCCTGAGGGATGATTGTGGCTGTTGCTGCAGAAAAAAAAAACCCCCCCCCCCCCCCTCCCAGAATCAAACATGTGAAGTTAATAATAGGAAAAATGAAAACGCCGGCTCTTTACCCACTGAACGCTCTTGCACATCGTCCGCACCCCCCGCTGTGAATGTTTTTCGCTCAATTTTCAGGGACCAAATGTGAGCTGCTGCTGATGACTCACCTGCTGTCACAGCGACGGAGTCTCTGTGAAGCTGTTTGTGGGGCAGCTTCTGCAGGTTTTTGTGTGTGAGCGCAGATCACAAGAGACGTGACACAGTGTCGAGCGTGTGAGTGGTGAAACGGGGGTATTTATTAATTTTCTATCGCTTCGCATGGTCGTGCACATTCGTTAGCGAACCCCTGAAGTGTGCAAGAAGGGTGAGAACGTAATTGCAGGTGACACTTGGCTCAGAGGAGTCGTCACAGCAGCTCACTGAGCTGTGTCTTACATCAATCTTTTCATTTGCTGCGTCAGGAAAACTCTTTTCTGCAGCTGAAACTGTTCTGAGGTTGAGAGGTCAGTGAACTTACTGTACATGCTGAGCTGTATATAGCCCCAGTGTACGAGTTGCACAATGAAAGTGTAACCAACAGCTGATATGAACAAAATAACCACTGGATAATATTTATTTTCACACAGTCGGAGTATTTACACCCAGTGCCAGGAACGCTCATGAAGAATATTGTTTTTGTGTGTGTGCTGCAATATGGAAGGAGACACCCAGCAACTAGTAACACCCTCCAGACTTTTAGAAATGCCATCGCGCTGCAGCGAGAGGCCCAACTCAATAATCCTGGCTCCTTTGTTGGCGTCTAACTAAAGCTGCCCCGTCAGACCACGGTTGTCTAAATGCCACATGTTCTCCTGGACTCGAACTCTGCACCCGCTGTGATTACATGTGCAGCTCAGATAATGTGTGAATGGAAAAGTTCGGACAATCCAACCAGAGACAATGTACAGAACCTGAAGTGGCACTTGTAGATAGTGTACTATATGTTCTTTTTTAAAATTTTGTACCAGCCCAACCGCTGATATTTATAACTATTGCCTATTTATGTACAAATTGTTCTCCTGTACATACTCAACAGTAAGTTGAAATAAAAATCTTTTACAGTATAAACACTTCCTGTTTCTCCACGGACTGTTTTCTCGCTTTATGTGTCATCACTGCTCGACTCATTATGATTTTTAAATGAAGTGAACAAAGTAAATATATTTACTGACTTTGTTAACTTGGCAAAGTTTCTTTTGCTTCAACTAACTTTTAAGTTTCATTTGTAAAGTAAAAGAAAAATTGGGGTGTACTCTCCCTTTTTACAGGGGTTTTGAAGAAGACTGGGGTCTACTGATCATTTCTGCAGGGGTTTGTCGTCCATTAACCGCATGGTCGATGGTTCGATCCCCAGCTCTTCTAGTCTGTATGCCGAAATGTCCTTGGGCAAAACATAGAAAAAAACCTTTTAAAGTTAAAATTAAATTTGGCAAATGTCCCAATGAGCAGTGACATTAGAATTAGAAATAAAAAAAAAAGTTAAATATTTTGAATTATGAAAGATAAATGATCATTTGTTGGCACAACAACTGAAGGGGAGTGAGTTGTCCTCCAAAAGTCTTTTGCGGTTTATTTTTGTTATGTAGTTAAAAACGTCGTTCATTGGCTTTTTGCCTGCTTTATTCTCATGTCCATCCATCTGCTGTCCACCTCCTCTGTGGTCCACCATCACTCTCTCTCCAGTTTCTGGCGGCCTCTTTATCTTTCCCTTCCAGGTTTCTCGTCCCTGATCCTCACCTCTCTCCTCTTTCAGGTCATCAGAGGTGAGAGAGTGTGGAAACAGTTGTCAGCGTTAAAAGCTGGAGCCAAATCGTCTGAGTCTACTTTCACTTAAGTTCTTTCGGATGATCCTCAAGGAGAAATGGTCTGTGGCCTTGTGTGTCGTCTCCTGGTGGCACCGGGGCAGACGGAGCTCATCAGAGAGGACGCCACTCTGCCGCTGCTCCCTTCTGGCACAACCACGGTCGAGCCACTCCGACTCTTCGCTGTGCCGTATACGTGCTTTCCTGCAGCAACCATTATTAGACAAGCAGACAGTCGTGTTTTGTCTGCCCCAGGTCGAGAGGAAATTGGTTGTTTTCGTATGTTGGCGTGATACCCAAAGAAGGCGCCCAATACGTGATGCCTCCTCGTAGAGACAGGACCTCCCTAAAACATTTTGACTGTATCCATGACTCCATGACTGAACAAAACACAATTCAGAGGCGAGACACATTTCATTCGCCTCGTATCTGATCTGACATTTTGTTGCTATTCCGACCGTATGAGGTGCCTTCCTCCACGGGCGGAAAAGATTTAACCGCTCAAGTCAGTCAGCTGTCTCTGCTGCTGCCTGTAATGTGTTTATAATGCGCGGAGGAGGCGGAGGGGAGGCTATGAATAACGAGGATGGAATTTAATCAGCGTGGTCAGTGATTCAAAAGGACAAAGGTCCAGCATTGTTATCACCTTGTTTTTTGTTATTTTATCCTTTTAATGGCGGAGAATAACGGGGCCTTGTGGTTTCCATTCATCAGCAGCTGTGGACAGTTGTGTTCTAACCAGTCACAGAGAAAAGCTGAGCCGAGCTGATAAGAGGTCAGCGGCTGCTGTATGAGGCCAGGAAGTGTTTCATAACGGGACAGGAAGTGTGCCGTTGGTGTTTATACGTGTTTGATGCGTGTTTGGGGTAAACTGGGAAAACGCATGTGTGTAGTTGACGGTTTCAATCAAATTGAAACCTTGGAAAATGTGTGAATCCTGCAGATATTATCGAATAACAGATTTTGGTGGTTGAGCATTTGGTGAAATCGGCAGCAAATGTTTCTGTTTAGATTTCACGTGTCATCAGCAGTCGAGCCAGTGAGGACGTGATGACGGAAAGCTTCTTCCGCGGTCGTGAAAATGAACATTGTACCGTTGCCTCATCACTGACACTTTCAAAACTCAAGATGATGGTATAGCTCCACGTGTAACTGGATTTTCCGCCCCGGTTATCCTGGTGAGGTCAATGGAAGTCGGGCAAAACACTTTCTTTGCTCATCGTCGAAAAGTTTAAGTTTCTGAACAGTTCCAGTGATATTCAGTTTGCAGATCGAGAGGCTGATGTTTCTCTCTTTAGTTTTGTTTCTGCAGCTTAAAGGTCTTTGAGGATTAAAGCTCTTCTGGAAAACCTTTCACAGTTTATCAAAACTTCCCTTCCTTGGTATTTTGCATTGTTTACTGTCAGTCACAGCTTCTTTGCATTTCACAATATTTAATGGTGGTCCTTTAAGCAGGCGACTGAGCCACTCGCTGCTATTGTCTTATTGTTTCCTCCTCAGGAAATACTCAGGAGCTGAGCGTGAGTGCAGACAAGGGGATCGCATGCGCTCTTTGAAAAAAAAACAATGGCTGGAACCAAACCAAGTCTTCTGACCCAGCAGATCACTTCGCGTTATTGACCTGAGCCTTTGTGCTTGCAGACTTGACTCCGGTCGCTCAGTATATAAAGCGCAGACAACAAACGGTCCACGAGTCTCCATCACAGGCCCGACCCGCTGTCAGGGCAGCGCCAGCCATCTGCACGAAGCTGTGATCTC